GACGTTTCTACACTGCTTCATGCGTTTTTTCAGAAAAAAAAATATTAGAAAGTCCGAAAAGATGAGAAGGCTTGGGTAACTTGACAAATCTGGAGCTACAAATTCTATTTCTCATTCATCCAACTCCAGTTTTCAAGAAACATCTTGACAGGCCCTATCTGCAAGCAGCGCCAGCTAAGATGTGTACCCAATCTCTTTTGCTATTTGTCTACTATTGTTTTTTCTACCGTCCGAGGTTGATAGGTGGAATATTTATTCGATCCGCCTAAAGTTTGACAGAGCGTCGTCTTCTGAGGCCCAAACGGGGTTCCAGATTAAGGCTCACGTCCCAATCCACCCGAGCGCCTTAATTGTTTAGCGGTTTCGATTTTCCGTGGGGAGTCTCACCGAGGAACATAAGCAAGACGAATATGAAATTTGTCAAGGATTCCACCGTTGGTCCCGCTACTACCCCAAAAAAATGTGTTAGTAAAAATATAAGCATAACAAATGTACGGGTACGTTAGTAGTAGGGCGACGCATATACGCTAATAGCTCGCCAGTGCAAGTATATAACAGCAAAAAAGCTTGTTTATTGAGAGGCGATCCATCTCTGCTCATTCATCTTGAAAAACCCAGAATGCTTTCAATGCTTTCCAGCCAGCTTATCTTGTGAACCATCGGCCGTGTACTTTGTTTCCGAATTATACGCCACTAATGCGCTTCTCAACTTTGTGCCTCCAGGTACCCCCCAAGAGGCCCGTCGCGCGACGAAGTCAGAGACGCAGGCGCGGCAGAGGACGAGCCGCACCGCTTACTTCAGCGGTTAGGCGTCAACTTCAATATAACAAGTAACAGTACGTCTAACACCATTCACTCCACAGTGTGGGCTCAAAAATGCGATATCTGATTAGTCACGCTACGTCTTATGCTGTTTTCTTTGCACTAGCACATCACTCCAGACTCAACCTCAGTTACCCCCGACTACTCCCCGGAAAGTTATTGTTTGTCGTGCATGTTAAAATTTGAATCGCTTCTACCGTTTTTCAGCCAAGCTAACCAGATTTTTTTTGAATTTGCCTTTTCAGGAGTGAACTATTATATATGTAGTGCTTATTTCGAAAGGAGGCAGTCGGGGGGGGGGGGGGGGGGGAAATGAGTCGGGAGGGATACATACGAGATACGGGTAGTACAAGGAAAGCAAGCATAAGCGGCGTGACTAATCGTGAACAGATATCGCATTTTAGCCCACCCGTGGAGTGAATAGTGTGGGACGCACTGTAAGTGTGTTGCATTGAAGTTGACGCCTAACCGCTATAGTATGCGATGCGGCTCGTCCTCTGCCGCGCCTGCGCCTCTGACTCCGCCGCGCGACGGGCCTCCTGGGGGGTATCCCGGGGGAGACGTGCGTTTCTCCTCCTGGGGTCAGGTCACCACAGTTGCGCGATCATTGAAGCTTAAGGTTAAGTTTGGGTTTAGACTTAGGTTAAGGCTTATGCTTACACATTGGCTTATGCCTAAGCCTATGATTGGGCCTAGGCTTAGTCCTAAGCTTGCTCCGAGCGAATGAACGGCGTCTCAATTTTAGGTGACCTGACCCCAGGAGGAGAAACGCCACGCAACCGGGGTACCCTATGCCTCTTGAGAGCTATTGAACGATTATCGCGTCTCATGCTAGTCAGATTTTCTTTGATCCAAATGCTAGAACCCTTCCGGTTTGCCCCTAATATGAAGAGTAACACTCATCAACACAATAAGTGCTCGTTTAATAAATATATTCCTACAGCCATAATCCCTTTATTCCTTTCTCTCTCTTTTCCCATCCATATTATTCTAAGGCTTGACCAGACAGAGTCAAGGTTTTTCAAACGGCGACACGTAAATGGCACATTCCATGCAAGCATAGCTTTTTCTGTCGGAGGTGATTCATTCAGTGGCCGTTCCGTGACTTTCAATATTGATGCTACACGCAGCGATGTTAAATAGGACCATGGGCAGAGTATTTATTTATTTATTTATTTATTTGTGCTTGAACACGCCATAATATTAAAATATCATGAAGTTAAAATTTCCTACAAACCTGTCAAAAATATAAGTGATAAACCAGCGACCTGAGGTTGAGTTCACTAGGCTGTCTGCGATTTACAAGAAGAGACGTATGAGCTTGCAAGCCAAGCGGTTCTCAGTACTTCAAGAACTGGTGGAATGTAATGGGGATCTCTGCACTAGTTTTAAAACGGTCTCAGGTTAAGGAAGGTATATGTTCAAAGTATGACGATCAACCATTCCATCACACGAGAAGAGGATCTTGTAGATACTGAACACGCCATACCCAGACTTGAACAACAACACAGACCTGCATCAGTCGGCTATGATGCCCACTCGCCACTAGGGGTCATAGGAGCTTACCGAAACTCCGAAACACGGGTATACCGACCACCCTCGTGGAATCGGCAAGCTAGGTAAGTGTTATGCGCAACGCTGAGCCGACCTGAGCAGTATACTACCCCCTCCTCTCGTGCTTGATGGTGGGACATCGTTCTTCGATTATGTAGCGGAGGAACCATGAATAAGAAGCATCAAAGTACAGAGAAGAAGAGTAGCCGATATAGAGAACGTTTTCGGAGCGACGTGATGATATAATAGTATTTTGACGATGTAAGAAAAATTGGGAAATGCACGTTTACTGGGTATTGTTGGAATAAAAACGGATCTCTCCAATGTTCTTCATTGATTATGTTGAAACTGAGAACGTGCTGTTCATCTCATTCAGTCCTTGAGTTGGGGTTCCTTCGGTCTTTCATTTTCGTTCTCATGAATTCGTTAGCTCAATAGACCAACTAGTGGAAAAAGGATATGAAATAAGGGGAGTGCAGGATATTCTCTCACTCCATGTGTAGCTATTCCAAGTCTAACTGGGCAATGTGTTTGTTGGAAGTTTCATTCAGAGAAGTGTTTGTTAGAGTACTCTTGGAGTACTGTCTGACGAGTGCTATTTGATGTCTCATTTGTGAAAGGTCGGGAGGGCGGGGGGCAGGGGGAGGGTTGAGAGAAATCCTTGAGCATTTGGAAAAGCAAAAGTTGTGAATGTTTGCGGTGTCATGGTGTCATAGCCGCTGGCAGGTAGAGGACACGGATGGGGGGGGGGTAAAATTCTTTTCGCACTCCCACCGTGCCCGCCTCCAGTGTAAGGTAAAGGACCATGACTCAGCATAAGCAATAACTAGCCACAACCCATACCGAAGCAATAACCCCCAAATCAGTGAGGTAACAGCAGTAGACAATGAATTTTGAATGCCGAACTGACTGAGAAATGAAAAAAAGAACCAAAGCAAACTGCCGAAAAAGCCATTGACAAGTATTCCCTCTCTTCCTCTTGAAATGAGGAGGGGCGGTCCGGACGAGTTGTCTGAACTTGCTTGCTCCATGGCTCCACTAACCCGCGCGTATTTGAATTAGCCGCTACGTCGTAATCCACGTTGCGTATCACGGGGTGTGCGCGAGGTATCTCGTCCATAAGTTCACATTAGTCGCCATCAGATCACTTTGTAAGGCCCTAGCGCCATTGTTACGCACTTTCGAGCTCCGACAACGGCACATTTGTGATACTCATGGGCTTCTCTATCCCACCCATAGAATGGATACTTCGACATGACCTCATATGGGGTTGCTGCTTTGAATTTGTTTCTATTTATGTACTTTTTATTTACTTATTTATTTATTCGTTGAATAATTCGCACTGTTGCTTGCTGCAAACGCAGTGCTGCTTAATAAAGTGCATTTCTCAAATTTCTGGTGACATTTTTCAGAATTCTATGAACTTTCTTCAATAGCGTTTCTGCTTGAAAAGCATTTCAAGCGGAAACGCTGAAGAAAAGGTCAACAGAAAAATAGTAGATGAAGGAATGACCTTTTCTTTTCAAATTATGCAAAGAAAGCCTTGCAGATTTTCTCTTGAGCTATTACCAGCGTTCTAATAATAAATATAATTAATCATAATAGAAAATTCCTAGAATCTTCGATAAGGTCAACCAGCTGCATAAATCTGTACGTCTTTTTCTGTTAAGGCTTCTTTTCTTCTGTAAAAATTCCCCTTTTCGGCAATCCCGTTTATGTTTTCGTCTCGTCTAACCAGGGGAGGCTTTCGAGTTCCCATGGAACCAAATTAAGGCTAAGGTAAATTGGGTAGAGCCTAGGAGGCTGGTCACCAATGTGGGGATCGAAAATTGCTTCTGGAGGAGGTTGAAGTTGAAATTTGGTCAAGGAACTCACGGGTGGTCAAAATTGGTTGTAAATGCTACTTTGATACAATAAAATTTTTGTTAAAGCTTCATTATACCGATGGCCCCGATTACGAATATTACATCTGTTCATTTCAGGTTGGCGCTTTCAATTGGCGTGATTTAGCGCTAATTGGGAGCGCCAACCTGAAATGCAAAAACGTTGTCATTACGGGGAATCGAACTCTGGATTAATCTGATCGACAGTCGTAGCAGTTTTGGTCTTTATATTTGCAGCGAGCATCCCAGGATCTATCAATTTCTTGGGTGTCAATTGACAGTTCCACGGGAAGTCGAAAGCTTTTCCTTCCTAAGGGTGTTATTGTGACCCTGAACGGAGCGCTACGTGCTTCAGGATGGGTCATGAAACTCTAATATGTTACATACCATACCACCTGACACGCTTGGTTCATTGGTTTGATGAAAAGTAATCTCTCGATCTTCCCTTTGCCAACTGGTGAATAATCGATGGGGCGTGATTGGTCCATGGGCGTAATGTATCGCCCATGAACCAGTCACGAAGGCTAGGCAAAGGTTTTTTCATTGGTTAGGCGCTTGAACCCTTGTTCCTCCACTTCACAGATGTCTTATTGAAGAACCACTAAGGAAGTCGACCATGAAAGCTTTTTTAATAGTGTGTGGTCGGCTATGAACTTCGAATAAGGGTCCAGAAAAGACCAAAAGTGATTATCTTTAGAGTGATAGTTTTAATTGAATGGATTTCGATGTTTTCAGCAACGCATGGTCGATAAATGTCTGGCTGAAGAGAACGATGAGCAAGAGCCATCGTGCAGTGATGATACGTGCTGTGTGTGTATGTCCAGAGTCGCTACCGTACACGCCTATCCATGCGGACACAAGATCAGCTGTAGACTCTGCGCGACGATGATGCTTAAGGTAAGAATGGTTTTTTGTCACTTCTAGGAGATCCGGCCAGTTTCGCATAGAATGATTGGGTCTGCAAAACTCTATACCTCTACCTGTTTTGGTCCTACTCATGGGCAGTTCCTATTCCGTAAATTCGCAACGTTGTCGGGAAATCGAGGTCTCATTAGTCGTATTACCTGATCATTTGGTCTGCTACGATGGTAAAAAGGTTTTGCTGATTTTGGGTCAAACGCTGTACGTGATTTCACCGTCTTACTAAGTGTGGCGATTAATTGCCACCTCCTGAAAAAATGTGGTTTCCATGAAACGGTGACTGGGAAAGCACTTTGATCGGGAATCAAAATAGGCAGCCATCAGGGAACTAAGCGATGGAGCGTCCTCAGCATATTCCTCTGCTGCCGTACAGAATTCTAGTTGCAGAAATGGAGAAGAATATTCAGCAAGGTTTCGAAAGCACATCTACCAGGGGCGAGGTGACCTATCAAACGAAGCGCTGCATAGGATGCCTCCCTTCACTAGCTTGATGGAGTTGTGTCGTTTATTACTATGGACTAGACGGTTGCCACCTGTCCCTTTCCCGCTTTGTCCTTTACAAGTCGGTGTGTATGCAGATTCTAAACTCTTCAGTCCAGTCAGCCCGAGATTGACAGATCAACTCCGTTTGCTAGACCAAGCTATGACCCAGCCAAAATAATAACCTAAAGCATAAACCAATATTTAAGGCATCAAGCCCAAGTCTACAGCCTAAGTTCAAAACCCAAGCTTAACCTCATACTTCAATGATGGCACAACTCTGGTGACCTGACCTCAGAAGAACTGACCGTCTCCTTTGGGAAGATAGCTCCGATTTCAACTGTGAAGCTCTAATCAGCTCACTGTGATCAGATTTCCTAATTTTGCTAAGACGGACATGACTATCTGTAAGTTGCCCCACAAGCTTTTCATCTGCCTCAGATTGGGTTTCCTTCTGAAGGCTGTTCATGTCAATGAGCTTGATCAAATAGTCTTCAATTAGGCTATTGCTAAGAGAGTCCATTGTCCAGATCTATAGGAAATAAGGCCTGAACAATTCAATGTCGGAGGGGTTTCATAATTGCTGCTCATAGGCCTAAAAAGCCATCGTCCCGCACAGCATCGATCCGGCCCTACAAGTCGCACTCATTTGATGAGGCAGACAGGCATTGGCTGCTCACAGTATACCAGTATTGACTTCTTACAGCAGGCACCACCCACCCGTTAGTCACGACTAAGTTTACATAACGACTGTAAACAAAGTGTTTCTCCAGTGGAGAATCCAGTTTTCGCTGAGGTAGGAAATCGTTCATTGGGTCGGCAGTTCATTACGGATACAACCTTCGTAAGAAGAAGTAACTTCTCCATACAAAATGTTTATGGAACCAATCGTCATTTCCAGAGGGTTCATTGGTGTAATTGTATCCTTGAACTGTGAACGATTCCTTTTTTTCTGTATGGAACAACTAAGTGTTCTATTTGCGGTAATGAGTCATAATCAACTGACTATGGTCGCTGCCCGCGATCATTTTTGCTCGAATTTGGGTCTGTCAGTTCTGAAAAGTAAGTTATAAAGGGATTGATTCAAAGCCACAAAATGAGCAGGATGCAAGGACAGACAAGCTTGGATCAAGAAAAACGCGAGGCTTTCCTGTTCAGAAGCTGCACGAAGCCTAATTGAAGCTTTCGTCACTGAAGACCGCTGTATCACGGATTTTTCCGGGTTTCACCATGAAATGGGGGATCTTTGTCGAAGCACTTTCTCGATTTCCAAAATCATCAAAGTCTTCGACGTTGGTCAATCCTTTTTGGGGTGCGCACGTGTATTGGCTTTATTCTCAGAAATCGTGTGGCTGTTCGAAAAATGTGGTTTATACACAATGATTTGTGAGGGCCAGCTTATGTACTTGTTAGTACTCTTGCATTCCATACAAGTCTTATTCCTATCAAAGGAACCGCATGGATGGTTTGGTTAACCTGGAGTGAATTAGACCCGTAATCTGACCCAAACCATGCATACGTTATGCGGCACCAGTTGCCTCCACGTCATCCCTTTTCTCCATATTTTTATAAAATTCTTACATGACTTATTTAATGCGCTTTCAGACGTCTGCGAAGGCCCAAGAGAAACATTTCCGTTGTATTATGTGTCGATCGAATGTCTACAGGCTACGATATGTTCGACAAGATCCCGGTAGTAATTTTGTGCAAGGTAAATTTTGAATGACTTTTTTCAAACTTACACCAAATAAAGTATACTTTTATTTATACTTAGTTTCAAATAGTGTGGTAACAGTAGATTTCTTCTACTAGCAAGGGATAGCAAAGTCCGTCCCAGGAATACAGATAAGGCTTTTTGTCAACAATTGGAGTAGAAGATGATAATTGCAGGCGATGATACTAGGTGAGGACAGTATCTGCAAAGGGAAGTGGCTTATGGTTAGAGGCAGCGAGTACAATAGGTCCCAGAGTAGTTTAGAGAAAAAAGTGGGGAAGGAGGCTCAACGGTGCGCCAGTGGCGAACAACGCAACCGTGTTGTTTGACCGTTTTTCGCTCGTGGACGGGCAACGCCTCAGAAGTGGACATATGGATGTGCTCACACGCACCATGCCAAACCGTGCTTCAGTCGAATTGCTCCAGTTGTGTCCTCGCTGTCAACACAGCTCGCCCAAATCACCAAGTTGGTATATTAGTGGGCAGAACGCTTCTGGGACAGAACGCTTTTGGGGCAGAGCGCTCTGAAAGTGCTGCTCAGTAACCACAGCACCTTCCGTTGTGAAACCGGGAATGAATGATAGCGAGTAATAAGGGGTGATAGCAGGTAACTGAGGAGAAGACTTCTCTAACCAGGGTAAAATAAATTCTTTACGGTACCATTGTTCGCAGGTCAGCGTGGCATACAATTTGGTATAGCACTGCTAGTTGGTGGAGCATGGGAAATGATATCTGAGAGTATGATAGCGAGTGATAGTAGAGATGAGCGT